CCGCCATGCGCCGTCGCTTCGGAAGCGTGACGTGGACCGGTGCCTTGCGGGGTGTGAGTTCAAGGAGACCTGGAAGCTGTACGAGCCACAGGAAGCTGTGGTAAAAGCAAAAGAGCCATGTGGTGACAACGCCACTGCCGAATACAGTGCCGCTACCCCGCTTCTCCAGTCCTCAGAGGAGGCGGCTGGCGCCGTGCGTCTGACTGCCGTGGAGGAGGCGCTCCCCGCTCTGCGCGCGACGGATGAGGTGGACGAGGTGTTGTACGATCAGGACGATGTGCCGCGCACCAGCAGTGAGGTGGGTGCTGACGGTGCCGCTACCCCGCTTCTCCAGTTCTCAGAGGAGGCGGCTGGCGCCGTGCGTCTGACTGCCGTGGAGGAGGCGCTTGGTGTTTCGGTGGCGGAGGAGGAAGTGGCTGGAGCGCCGCGATGTGAGTCTGAAGATGTGCCGCCTACGCTTTCTCCCTCCGAGTTCGTTCGTCATGTGGATGGCGCTTTGCCGTCTACGGGGGCTACTCCTCCACTGCGCGTTTCAGAAGAATTATTGCCCGATGCAAAGGGTAGCGAGGAGTATGGCGGTAAACGTGTTACCAGGGATTCTTTTGTTGCGGAGTCTATCAGTCCGGCGAATGTATGTACGCTTTATCGCGTTGGTTTTGTGGGAAGTGTATGGAGCCGTATTGTTGATCAGAAGCTACAGCGCTTGAGTGATTGCTTTTTGAAGGATGCTTCACTTGTTTCTGGTGTCACACCCAAGTGGATTGAGGATGTTACGTGTGCCCCGTCTGGTGATGTTGTGGTCAATGCATGGTTGGAACATTCGTCAGCGTTGTCGCAGAGCGATGTGTGTGTTATGCTTGATGAAGCCCCCTTTAATTATATGTGGGAACTTTATGATGAAGTTTTTGGGAAGGATGCGGTGGGTAAAATGACGACTTTCCATCGTGTTGGGTTTGTAGGATCGGACTGGGAGGCACTGATGCGCGGCGATTCCGTAACTACAGCGTTTGTGAAGGACGTCGCAGAGTGTGTTGATGTATTGGAGGATAATGTGCGTGTAGCCGAATATAAAGTCGGTGACAACCTCGTGTTTGATATCTACGTTGAGCATAGGAGTGATGTGGGTGAGGCGGATGTCGACAAATTACTGAAGGAGGCGTCTTTTGCACGAGTTTGGGCTATATACAAGAAGGAAAAGACACCTGTGATTAGTGACTTGCAACCTCTGCGTGCACCACTGAGGTTCTCGCCACGTACGCCGTCCTTTTCTTCCTTGCAGCTTCTCCCGTACGGCTACCGTTCTCCGCGTCTTCCTCGGTGGGGTTTGGGCGAGTCCCCGCGGGCTGCGCAGCATGACTGGCAGACAGCTCAAGGTAGCTCGCGATACGGGCAGACGCCTGATGCGAGCTCAAATATATTGCCCGAGACGCAAAGGGGTACCTCGTTGACTGCCGATGCCCCTGCCACGGACAGGCAGAAGGTGTGCAACGCGTCTCCTGCGCTTCTACGGGCGGGCACGACGAGGCTTCCGTTCCTTTCGCCGGTCCCCCGTCGCACCAGCCCTCAGTCACCAGCCCTTCAGGAAATGTCCCCGTACATTAGTAGGCACCCATTGCGGAACTTGACGCGCGTCCCGCAGCGCCCCCGTCGCGTGAATCTCCGTGAGGTGTCACAGACGCTTGAGCACAAGCGGTACCAACGGCAACGGGATGGGGGTCAACGCTTGACCAGTGATATGTCGCAGGGATCGCCGCAAGTTCATAACCCCGGCTTCTCACGCCCAGGGCCCGTGAACCGCTTTCAGCCATACCTTGAGAGGTGGCGCCCTCCCCGCAATTGACCGGATGTTTGCTGGGCCGCCGTTTTTGGATGATGTGCTTTCGTCTATGTATATATGTTGGTGAGCGAGTATGTTGGTCATTCTTCTTTTTTCTTTGCACTTTCTTTGTTTGAAAGTGGAATCCTATCACGGTGTTTGTGTTTTTCTGTCTTCGGCTTGCTTCTTCCATTGGGGCCGAAGACCATATCTGTCGCTCTTTTTCGTGGCACGTTCACAATTACATTTTTGTTTCGTCGGTGTGCGGGGTGCTCTTCTTGCACAATCCTACATTTTTGTGGGCTCTGTGAATCTTGTTTTTCAGGTTTTCCCTCCACTTCCCTTTTTGTTTTGTAGGAATTACGCTTTCTTGTTTGCTTTCTGCTCGAGGTCTTCTCGCTTTTCCTTTTTTGCGCGTCTTGGTTACCACACCAACGACTTCGAGAGTGTGTGGTGTTTCCCCCCCCTCCGCATTGCTCTTGTTGTTGCTGTGACGGTGGGGACGGTGATGAGCCGCCAACACGCTGTCCACTGGAAACACACACACACACACACACACATATCCCTGGGGTGCGCCGAAACGCTTACGCTGACTTATTTGCGTAATACTTAATGAAACCAGTAATAATTTTGGTGAGCGGCTTCTGTAGAACGTATAACTGCAGTCGTGGAGGTGCGTCTCCCAGTCAGTATCAGCGAAAAAAAAACGAGGTGGCGGACCCCCAAAATGTGGCTCGTCATGATTCCGCGCATCGCATGCACAAATCCCACCCCAGCTCACTTGTTCCAGTCGTTCACGGAATTCTTCCTCCATTTTTCTTGCACAAGGAGGGAAAGGCAATGCTGAAGTGAAGACGTAATAAAAAAAAGGAAAACTATGGGTGAAGAGAGAAAAAAAGGGGCAGAAACGCTTCGAAAAAACTTTGATCATGTATAAAAAGTGCTGCTTAGATTTTTTGGTATGCAGTGTATGTATACATAATATCTATATCCATATCCATATCCATATCTATATCTATATCTATATCTATATCTATATCTATATCTATATCTATATCTATATCTATATCTATCTATATCTATATATATATATATAGATATAGATAGATATATATGCTTCCATTCGTATGTTTGTGCCTTTGCATGTATCTCTCTTCGTGACCTTGTGGTGATTATAATACGTATGATAAATGTTCTTCATTGCGTCTGTTTTTTCTCTTTTTTACTGAATCAGTGCGCCAAGGCGCGCGCGATTGTTGAGCCTATTTCAACAAAAAGTCTCCCTCCCCGACTTTATATATATATAGTGAGGGAGGGAGGGAGGGAGGAAACAGCTGTCGTGTGATATCATCTTGTAAAACTTATAAAAAACCTCTGCTGCGGCCGTCTTGCTGTGCGTGGGAAATGAGAAGTCATTGTGGGGGTTAAATTCCTTCCTCATTACCTCCTTTTCTTCTCTTTGGTATGTTGATAACACGTCGGTGCCATAGTGTTCCTTAACTCCACACACCATCTTCTTAGTCTTATCGACTCTTTGGATGCGGCCAACGGAAGGGGATTCACATCGTTTGACGATAGACCCGTTGCATGTTCCTTTAGGTCCAGGGCAGCCCTCAGCGCAGGGTACATTGTCGCCCGACTCCAGTGCCGTGCGTGCACACGTAACCAGCCAACAGGAACAGTTGCCTTCCGGGGGATCACAGGTGAACGATTTATTGCATTATCCCTACGGCGACAGTGAGAGTGATCATGCCTTTCTCCCGAGGAGGACGACGAAGAAGAGGAGTTCACTTCTATTGGAAGCTCAGTACAAGAAGGTAGTGAGCAGCAGGGCTTCTTCCCCCCCGAGAAATATTGACTTTAATGGGACTCCTCGTGATGCGAAAGCAACTGACAATGTGGATGATATCACTTGTTTCCAATATATTATTGGCGAAGATGATATGCCAGAGAAGAGCGGAGGCGACAAGAAGGATGGGGACTGTCGGACACAGCCAAAAACCAGCTTATCGCCTTCTTCACCTTCTCAGCCCTTTGACGGCGTCGCGGCGCTTGGACACCATATAGGGGGATCCAAGGGCTTCGTGGTAGACAAGCAAGCCAACGCCGGGACCTCTGTTCCGTTTCGGAGGAGTAATAGTAGTGATGATGAGACTTACGCAGTGTCTGACGATATTACAAAGGATACCGGGGGATATCCCATACGTGTTCTTAGGTGCAAAACGATAAGTGATCTGGACGACGACACGGTGAGTTTCATGGCATACTGGCAGTCGCTCCGCTCCCCGGCACTGTTAAATGCTGTAATGTTTGCCCTCCGCGGGACTTTCATCGCGGTTCTGCCGACATTCTGTCTCGTCTACCACCCAAGTACCGAGGGCTTTTTTACGGCAGGTGCACTGATCCCAACGATTGCCGCTCTTTTAATGCAGGAGACACTCGGCCTTCAAGTCATCTTTACCTTCATGGGGATTCAGGCTGTCGCACTCTTTATGACGTGGGGGGTGATAATGAATACACTTGGCGCAGTGCACAATACAGCTGCCTGGTGGTGTGCTGTGGTATTTGGCCCCATGGTGCTGGCACTACTTGGCGATGTGCGCAGCAAGCGAATGATGATGATGTACACTGTCATCATGATGCAGACGGAGCACATGCCAGGCGGTACGGAGTTGGTCTTCCCGTGCTTTTTCGCACGTGATTTTATCTTCGCTCTTCTCTTCTCTATGCTAGCCGTGTTATTGCCCTACCCCGTCTTGGCGGCGCGGCGGGCCGACGAAACACTCAAGCTAATGTGGAATCTACTTGGGGTGTCAGTTGTCATCGCCACAAAGAGCCAGTGGGCTCCTGTAAATATTGATGCCAAGTCATCACTGGCACAAATTCCATTCTTGAAGATGGCTGCACTTGCGGATGTTTTCCAGCAGCTTCTGGTGCACGCAGGATATGAACCACTGGAAAAGAGACGTGATCTGTATCTCCGCTCACAGCGGTTAAATGTCATCTCCCGCGTTAAGGTTCACCTTTACACTATGGCAGCAGCGGCAACGAAACATGTCGAGGACAAGGTGCGTCTTCATCGGAGTTCCGTGCTAAAGGAGTTAGAGCGCTGCCTCCGGTCCCCGGCGCAGGAACTTTCGCTGGTGCTTAAGGATGCTTTTGAGGCAATTGGTGCGGTGCTGTCCCCCGAGGAAACTGTAGCCGCTGTCGATTACTCTTTGATATATGAAAAAGCAAAGCGGCTGGCGGATGAGATGGAGAGGGTGCGAGTAAGCATGATTTATACAAAGGACATCACCCCTGATGAGACAAACCAGGTTCTGTACACTTTAATCTTTCATCATGGGCTGCTGGACATTGTGGGCGAAATTCAAACCTTTGAAGCGGCAATGCGTAACTTTGACGAGTCAAAGATTTTGTCCCTGCCGCGATGCGCATGGGAGTTTTTCTTGGAGAACTGGCGGGACTTTTGGGAGGAGTTACCCAAGCGTCTAACCCTCGCCACGCCGCGCGATGTTCGCCTCTGGAAGGATGCCATCAAATACTCACTTGCCTACGCCGTGGCGTGTGCCTTCACGCTTAACTTTGACCACAATGAGGTATACTTCTTTGGCATGGCTATTCTCATTCGCCTTGCCCAGCAGACAGCGGCAGAGACGCTAACGATTGGTGTGGCCCGCATCTGCGGGCTGGCCATCGGCGCCGCCTTAGCGTACATCGCGAAAACCAAAACCAACGACTTTTTACAGCAGACAGTGTTGATGATGATCGGTGTATTCCTGTCATTGACATTCACAAGGCACCCATTGTACGGCTCAGTGGCGCAGTACATGATCGTCGTTGCCCTATCGGGACTGCGGCTCGCACAAAGTCCAGGACTCCTGTTGGGGCGCTTGGCCGATAATGTCTTTGCCTTCGTCTCATACTTCGCGATCTGTACCTTCGTTTTCCCAACAGACCCCATTCGTGTCCTGTGGAACACGCGGATCAAAATTTTACTCAATGTGAGTGACCTAACACAGCAGTTTGCAGTGATTGGCTGTGCTCCATTGACGCAAAGTGGTCAAGAGGGGGGTCCTCTCTTGGAGGAGGCAGCGAAGCTAATGCAAAACCAGCGGGAGTTGCGACGAAAGTATAGCGATTGGTTGCCAAAAATTAGAGGGGAGCCGACAATACGCGGCAACGACTTACCGATGGAGGCGTGTACCAGACTGCAGCGGCTGTTTGCGGAGCTCAGCTCCGTAGAGGAAGTGTTGCTGATGGCACTAACGCGCCTTCACGCGCCTAGGGCTGAACCGCCTATTCCAGTGCTTCTGGATCTCATGGAGGCCATTCACCCGTTTATTATTGATACCGCCAAAATCACCCGTGGGGTTATGCAAGAAATGATTGATGCGACCGAAAAACCTAAGACGTGGACAATGCAATCTCTCCTCCACTATTTGTGGAAGGCGGATTGCGCCGTGCGCGGCATCCAAGCCTTCACGGGGAAGGTGCAGCGTAACTTCCTGGCGGCCTTGCAGGAGCTGGGGCCTTCTGAGCGGCAACATGTGAATCAGTACGTGAACTCCTCCTTTGTGAATGCACGAATGCTGGCTAACAACACCTTCGACTCCCCTTCTTGTAATGAAGATGATGATGTGTGGAAGCGGGTTCAGGCGATGAGTTTTCGTATCAGTGGACAACAAGTGCTGCCACGGGAGGATGGGCAGATATTCACTGCAATCATAATTGTCTTTGCGCTCCAGCTTCACACTCTCGGACAACTTTTACCACCGATGACAGCGATCCATGAATACGAGAAGTCGCGCGTGACGTGACACAATGGTAATCAATGGCTTATATATATATGTCTGTGTGTGTGGGAGTATGCAAGTAGTGCTTGGCCTCCTATGTTTTTTTTTTGGTTTTGTTTTTGTGCTCCTTTTATTTTTCCACTTTGCATGTTGCCTGCGCACTTTCCTTTCTCACAAATTGATGATGTTGACGATTCTTTAGCCGCGCCTACCGGTATGACATCCATTGATGTGTGGATGCAGACAAATAAAGGAACTAATATATA